CCGGAAAATCAAGTAGTTCTTGAATAACTATAGCAGTTTGGTAAGGGTAAACAAGAGGCTTGAGGGATAGAAAGTAACAATTACCCCTTATTGCAACGGAATTGTTTGCTTTTACGAAAAAGGTAAGATGAAACGCATCTCAGTGTCGAGAGTCAAACTTCTGTCGAGTCCCGTCAAGTCAAAGTAAGCTTTACGCACCCGAAGGATGAATTTTCAGCGACTTTTCACGATAATACAGTGGAAGTATGTGTGTGTGTGTGTGAGAGAGAGAGGGAGAGGGGAATTGCCTCCGAGTGTGAACAGGGTAAACAAAAACAACAGTAAACTACGAGAAAGAAGACGATAGTGATAGAATAAAATGAATTAATAGAATAATTTGTGTCCCACCAAACCCGTAATCATTGGTGCTCGATTCACCAAGAAAGCGGGCAAGAAAACGGAAGATGCTGTTTCTGTATGTGACGGTGCGTGCCTGAAGGATCTTATAAAGGGGGAGGGTATAGGGGTTTGACATGGATTTAGGAAGTGATTTGTGCAAACAGTGCTCTTCGTTGTTCAAGATATTACCGGCTATAGTTTCATATGGGTCGATGTGCTTGCACATAATAAAATCAACCAGGACATATCTGGCTATGCCAGAGATCTGGAGATTAATATGATATCTTTCAGGTCGGGAAAAAATACGGGGAACAGAACAACCAAAAACAGGGAGGATGAATGCTACCACGAATTTGAAAATTGCTTTTGGATACAGCAAGCTTCCTAAGCTTGAAAGCTTAAAAAGAAACTTTCCGAACCCTATTGTAAACGTTCTCCAAATGTCTAGCCCACGAGAGGGTGTGGGGTAGAACGACTCCGAGGTAGTTAATAGAGTTAACGACGAGGTTAGGTGAATCATTAAAGGTAGTTTAATAACGAGAGCCGCATTTAAGGTTGAAGGAAGCGTCTACACATTTGGAAACATTAGGCATGGGTGGCCGGGGTACAGACTGGCTGAAAACGTCGTTCAAACTGCCTTGAAGTTGGTGGAAAGATGTATCAGTGTTGGAGGGGCACCCAGCCACCACATCGTCAGCATACTTACAGGCAATTAATTTGGTAGGGACGGGAAGGTTGTTTATGTAGAGGGAAGAAAGAAGGCAGACAAAACGGCGCCTTGAAACATAAGAGAGTTAACATAAGATGACGACTTTTTACCATTGCATGAGATAAATTGCGTCCTGGAAGAGAAGTAGTTTACAAGATCGTTTAGCATGTCGGATTCTAAGCCCTAGTCAGCAAGACGTTTAATGAGAATGCGACGGTCAAGCGAACCAATGGCTTTGGCATAATCATGAAAAATAAGGCGAAAAGTTCTAGCACTCTCATCTAACACTGAGGTCACGGAATGGACAACATACGTGACAGAGTCAACAGTTGAAAGGGATTGCTTATAAACAAACTGAGGAGGATCATGAACATCAGAGAGGGTAGCCAAACGATTCCACAGCACGCTTTCAGATTCTTTCAACAGGACTGAGGTACATGCAATCGGTCGATATTTTGAAGAACCCTTCTTGGGAAGGGGTCTTATCCGGGCGTCTCTCCTGCAATCCGGGATTGATCTGGAGGACAAACACAAATTCAACAACTCTCAATGGGTGTTGCAAGGTGTTCGGCACAGTTTTCAGTAATATGGAGGCTAATGAGTCCGGTGCGTGGGCCCTGTTTAACTTAAGTTGCCTCAAAACTTTGAGGACCTCGGTCGGAGGAACAGAGTTGGTGTTTTCTGGGAAATTAAAAACGGACGGTAGAGAATTGAAACCAGAGGAGGTGGAAAATTATCGATTTAATTCGTCTACGTCAGGATAGGAGTTGCCACGTGCCACAGAGTTGCTTCAACGCTGACCACATCTCGTGACAGCTCTGGTTGCCCAGAATGGTCTCGATATACATCTCACTCAAGTGCTGAATCTCTGCCTTGATGATAATCGACAGTGATTTACCCTCGTAGCGCCTGCCAGTAATATATGCCTTCTCCTTATTAAGTCGAAAACGTTTTACAAGAAGCAATGAAAATCTGTCAGTACGGTTATATACGGATTCAACTGGGCAACACAAATCAAAACAGAAATTAAAGTAGCCGGCGAGATTCTCCCATCAGGAAGAATTATTGAAGAAGAGGAAACAGAAAAATCGATTGAAGAGATCATATCTCGGACTCTAGATAATTTATCATGGGTACAATTCCTCATCCGTATTGTTCGGGATGCTACCTGTGGTTGTTGACGATGAAACAGTTCACCTTGGATTTTTGGGTGCAGAACAATTGTACAATAGTTGGAAATGCTAATAAGTGCTCGTTTTTCTATGCGGAAGATATCTGGGATATTTAAAAAAGTGTCATAAAGCTGGCCCTCCACACCGGTGGGACAGTGCACAAGATTAGCCAAACCTAAAGTTCTTAGACAGAAATATCGAAACGGTCAAAATCGCCAGCCACAATACACAATGACTGGTCTAAACCTGTCACGAATTTTGTCTAGAAAGAGACGGAAAACGTTCGGATGTCAGAATGGGGCGTGTCAGTGGTAGTGTAAATGTTTGCCAGCATGATATAATGAAATATACTAAGAAAGCATTGTTTGCATTGAACAACAGTGCAGTTGATTTTCGTGGTATTAAAATGAAACAAAAGATTAGAGATGTTATACCACATACGGTTGACAAAAGTAATTACTCCACCACCTCTTTTATTGAAATGTATAACCCAATCGTCTCGAAAGGTATCAATTCCATCAAACCAGATAACACCCTCTTCAGCTTTTCTGGAGCATTATAAGTCCAAACATTTTGCACACTTGTTCATGTTTCATATTCCTGACTTAATTAACTTTTCCCAGAAGTGCGCGGATGTTGCTGCAAATAATAACGGGAACAGTCAGTCTGTTGATGGAACACCGCCCAAGAGAGACCCTCCAACCAGCACGATGATTTGCTTGCACTCCATGTCCCTTCTTCCTCAATCGGTTGTAGCGATTTCGCACAAAATGAAAATTGTTGTTCACGCGCGATAAAACGAAGGTAGGTCAAATTTCCGATCCTAGGACAGCAGTTGATCTTGAAAATTGAATGAATTGATTCGATTAATTATGTATGCATTTTTCCACTGTAAAATATCTAAAATATCAAACAGTAGTTTAGGCGCTGCCGAATTTGGAATCCACACCATCCCTTGCGCAAACAGGTTGTTGCCAGAAAAATTATTCTCTGCTCATGCATGTAGCGAAAATCTCCAAAAAATGAACGTACCTCCTCTTTACAAACACGTCGGAAACGGTTATTGCTGGACGAGTGCTGTTAACATATATTCACTCACTTCAACCCCCTGTATCCCAACTCGGCAACTGCGCATAGAAAACAGAAAATTTAGATTTACTACTCACAAGTAGCGTGCATATTTAGATCTATCAAATCTCGCAATTCGGATTTGGTGTCTCCCACGGACAGGTGCGGCAAATTAGGTTTTTCAATCTAAGGTTAATTAGAAGGGAATTGGTGGTGTAGCCAGCCCCACAATATGCACTAGATATTGGTACGATTCCCTGTGATTTGCTAGTCGCTTGCTTAACCGTAAAAAAGATGTTAACCAATCTGTGATAATTATTTGATCAGATGCAAACGGGTTACATTTTGTCTACAATCATGGAATGGAGAGCAGTATTTTGTTCAAAGTTAATAGGCATTTCCTTATTCCAACTACCAATGACGAAAATTGACATGATCCAAGTGAAACTGGCAGTAATCTACGATATAATAGAGAACAGCCCGTAGGAAAAAGAATGTGAACGGAGAATAACCACAGGTAAGTCAACCCGGATTAACGATCGCTCAAAGCTAATATTCAACCGTATTAATTGGTTGTTTGTGACACCGGAGAAATCGCCTATCATTTATGGCTTCTGATCACTTTTCGAATGCAGTTGTGGGATATTATGCATACTTTTATTTGTTTATTCCCTCATGATAACAATAATAATAATAATAATAATAATAATAAAACTTATTGATCCTATGTGATTCGTTGCAAACAGTTATTTAATTTGAATGTCTTCAAAACCAATTGTGTATAGATTTATTTTGATTATTCTTCTGTTAAGTGGTCTCTGATTATTTTAGGAAGATTATAATACAAATTGAATAACGTACACATTTGAGAATCAACGGTTAAATGTAATTCAGAAAATACGTCACACCCGTTGTCCAACGCTAATCTATGGCTACGAATACCGGTTATTCTAGTCTGCGGGCCCTTGCATACTGTCACTCACCAATGATCACTGTATTGGGAACATCGCCACAATGAGGTGGCAAACTAATTCGACAGCATATATAATGGGCTGGCTAAACATTGTAAATTAAGATGATTCTGACATCTAAAAATGTTAACTTGCCGCTAATTCCAAACGAAAAACTGGTAACTCTTCCAGGTAGGCGACAGATTTTGTTCCCCCCATTTATGATGCATTTTTGTTGCAAGCAAGATAAATGAGTTTACGATTTAGAAAGCTTTTTCTATCTTACAAAACTTTCTTGATCAATGTCATTTGCCAGTAGGACCTCAATTTCCTTGTGGATATGCATATATACATGTTTACAGTGAAGTTTCATGTTCATATTGTTCGTGAAACGGTCCACACGCAATGTACCGCTATCCTAACAATGCAGCTCTTACTTGAAAAAGGTGAAATTCCGTGTTGACTAAAGTTCTGACCGATGTTTACCGTTTGCGAAGTAATATCGATTGATTAAGCATCAAACGATGAAAACATTGCAAACCGAATAAAAAGCTGTATACAAAGATCTCAATCATTGTGACTAATTTGTTGGCTCTCAAACGTCGGCTACTGATTGAGGCATATGGTCTGACATGTAATACAAAACATTTCTTGCGAATAAAATAGAATGATCGTCCGAATGAACCACACAAAATTCGAATTCTCCGATTCCATTTGGTCACCTCAGAATGTTCCTTTAGCTTTCCGATCGAGTTGCGAGCAGGCATTAACTCGCATCAGCTTGTCCCACCCTTTCCGCATCTTTTGTGCACTGCTAAATCCGTGCATGGAAATCACACCGGACAGCTCGGAATCGGAAGGTGATCGTTGAACATAAACACCACGTAGTCTCTGTGGACTAATTCCAAGTTTGTGCAGAACAATACCCAAAAACACGTCGTCTATCCACAAGAATTTCACAAATCGCATTCCAACTGCCAGCAGTCGCACAACTGGCATACTTAAAATCACTGTTCCCCCAGCCGGGTAAGGAAGATACAACAAGTAAGGATATACGCTGTAGGGTACGTAAGATTCACTCCACGGTCGACGATCTGGCCGCTGTACTGAGAAAACTGCACCCGATACATATGTTGGATATTGCGTTGTTGTAATGCGCTGAATCGCGCGAATCAAATTACTCGGATGTACGAGAAAATCGTCATCTACGAGGACGACAAAACGAGTAGCTCTGCAATTCCGTGAGATGTGCCTCAAAACAGACATCATTTTGTAAGTATTGTTGTGATAGGAATCGACAAAGTCAAATTGCAACAGATCGCCAAATGTGTCGTGCTCCCATCGTAGGCGTTCGATCAAGCTCGTTTGAGGGCGCGCAGTCGAACCGAGCGCGAACACAGTGCGAGTAGAGGTGTCCAGATATGAGACACATGTTGCATTTGCCCACGTTTGACGAATTGCGTTTCGTTGATCGAAGGATTCGGGTGATGATTTGACGATGATCAGTAAGTCAGGATGTCCATGAATGTCCTTGTATTTCGGAAGGAATGGATGGACAGTTTTGCAAAAAGACTTTGGGTCATGAATCAGTCTAAAATTTGCCGGATTAATCTCACATGGAGATATTCGGATTGCAGTTGGATCCAATTTCTCATAGATTTGGTGTAAATCTATGTCAAGTGGATAGTTGTATATTATCTCCGTTACAGCATAATAATTATTGATGTACCTATAAACAAAGACGGTCAGAGTTATGAATATGGCTGCTGAGGCAATATAGTATATCCAATGGAGTTTGGAGCGTAACAGCCATGGTATTTTCCAAAAATTGGTCTTCTCCATTTGAACGGATTCCTGAAATGAAGAAATTTAAATTGATGAACTCAAACAAACTTCAACTTGATCAAGTCTACAATGCTATAAAATGGAATTAATTAATCGTAATAAGAATTACAATTATATTGTCACTGGGATTGATCAATTATTGATTATTTCAAAAGAGAGCATGCTAAGTAATCAGCTGGACATTGACTTCCGATAGATTGGAGATTTACATTGCCCCATTATCTTTACGGTCAGGCTTTGATTAGCAGAAAGTTCCGGTGGTGAATTCTCCCACGAAAATTGTCTTTCTTTGGCATCTACAACTTGCCAGTATTTCGCCCATTACCAACTCGTGGGACTTTTCCTTTTTCTACAGATTGTTGTATCGAGAGCTTCAATTGCCTCGGAAACTTGATCGCAGCTTTTGTCGATTTCGGGGAGGAGATGACATCAGGAATAGCGAAATATAGAGCAGCGTTGTCGACCTGCGACACCTGTGGCGCCGCTATGACATCCGAAGGGAAGGGTAGACATTGCCGCAATTCGTAGTGTTTTGCTTTGCGGTCGCGAGACCTGGTCTCTCCGCGTTGAGGACGCTAATGGACTTTCTGTATTCGACCACCGATGACTCGTGTCTCATGAGAACATTGGGTAAGCAATGACGAGGTCCGTCGTCGCTTGTTGGGTGTGGATAGTCGCTCGGTACCACCTCTGATGGCTTGGTCAGGTGTTGCGTATGCTTGCCCATTGACTACCTTTCCGTGCTCTCTTCGCACGTGCTGGACAGGCTGGAAGAAGCACCGCTGCGGTCACACCATGATATGGTGTAGAGGTATAACGAAGCTGGCTTCAGCTTAGGCTTCGGTTGGTGCAACTCGCCTTCCACGTTGGGGTCCAAGGGATGAGACTGGTAGTTAACTAGGAACACTAAGATATGTGACTCAAAATAGAAGTCAGTGGAGCGGATACTGTACGGTAAAGGCCATAATTAACACGTGACCCTAAAAAAGATTGCAACCAATATGGATTAAAAACAATTTATGGCAGCTGATAGTTTTAGTGGTTATTTACTCATTCGGATCGTTGATGATGAACTTTGCAAACTTTCCATGGCACCAAATTATTAACCCACATGAAAATCACTTCATTGATGACTGGGTCAAATTGTTTTCTAAAAAATCTCAGGGTCCGTGACCATTTATTAGCAAAACTATGGTTTCTAGGTATAGACCCGTGACGCATTCAATACCGTCAGGTCCTTCTGAGCCGGTCTTAATACGGCGAGTCATATTATGAAGTCACGTTGTAGTTGTTTTCAGGATGTCATTTGGCGGTACGTGTTGAGTATCATTAGAAATAATGGACTCATCAATGCCGGTTTAAACAATAAATCGTCGTGATTCCTTATTCGTAAGTGATGTTGCTGCCAATGAATTACTTGTAATCGTCCGTGTAAAAATTGAATTGTCTTCCTCATGATCATATTATTTATTCTTCGCGCAGTTATAAATCCAGTGACGGGGCGAGGGGAGTTGTTTATTGCAAACAACGGTAAGGGTTTAGATAAAATGGCGTGCATACAACAAAACGTCTCACTTGGAACAGGTCATCATAGTTCTCTAAAGCACACAAAATAACGGTCTGACGGTAGATGCGTATTTTCTGTAGTTACAATTTTGAACAATATTTTGCTCTGGGAGTTCTTGTTCATTTTTTGACCTTTGTGAGAAGCGTCCAGTCGCATCCTTCTGCGCGTTCAAAGGTGAGTAGTACCTCACAGCAGCGAGGTTGTACTTCCTTTGACGATACAATTCCTAAATGCTACCAGTGTTCCCACAGACGGCGGGTTGATCGTAGATGGACTTCGCTGCGTGACATGCATTTATATTTTTCGCAGCTCAGACTTTCTAGTCTGGACACGTTACCTTCTAAGAAAATGAATATTTTACTTGAATCACTAATCCGTTTATTCGTGAACTGCTTTCGGACTGAGTTACTCACTTTTGGTTTATTGCTAAAGCAGGGTCATCATGATACATACATATTCTCTTGTTGGGAGAATTTATGGCATTTTCCTCAAGAATATTCCATTGGATAGTTACACTATCACTGTCTGCAATCGGGCGATCACATAATCACATTTCAGTTTTGCACTTGAATGCTTGTTGAGAGATGTGATAAACTACCGATACAATATCAACTCCGTCAGACCCAGTTGATTGAATTCGGTCCTCTCTCTAGCATGGAAATCGATGTCAGACTGATTCACTGGAATAATGTTCGCACACAAATAGTGCGAATTCAGATTAAAACTGAAGACCCAGTGAACAGCGCCATTTCAGGTAGAACCAAACCAATCTGTGAAAACAACCAATTCTTTTCAGAATCGCATACAAATGAATATCACAGGTCCTACATCAGATTGATTCATTATTTGCTGGTCAATCCCTATCTGTTAGCTTTTCGGCAAATCCAAGTGTATGTGCTTCGACTCTAAAGATTAGTTGGAATTTCCTTGTCGTGGTTTGTGATCTGGAAGTTGCTTTGCGGTTTTTGTACAGCACTGCCAAATGTAGCTGCTTGATTGCCACAGTCTCTTTTCATTACCGTCGGATTAAGGGAGTTGACTAGTTATAACTGAAGACAATGTGCAAAGCATTTTTAGTGGGCAAATCTGGTATAAGTTCGTTGGCAAAGTAATAACATGTTTTTCATACGAGAGTTCTAATGTTCAGCACCAGGATGGGACGTTTGAGGTACCCATCTGATGTGCCATTTCTCAAATATCGTGCTTCTGAAGTGCATACTTTACCGGATGAATAGAATATTGTGTTTTAACATGATTTTTGAAGGGCGGTCAGTGTAAAACGAGTACCACTCACCCCACGCTATTACTCACTCGTAATAATGAATTGAGTATGCATTGAACTTTTAAAAATGAAAACTCTTTATAGGCTTCCGGAATTTGTAACGACTGTCTTCCATCGTGAAACCCAATCATGGATACAGGAAAATATTCATGCAGAATAATACGACCAAGCTCCGTTTAAACCCATATGGAAAGCATAATGCATGCAATCTTCAAATTTCAAAGGAGTTTCAATACATTTTTCCTTCGTACTTCTGAGTTGTGATGCCTTCCCTGCTCAGCCAAGTAATTGTAAGAATTGGTGAATAACTGTAGGTTTGCCTCAGTTCTGAAAATGTTCGCCTTTAGATCAAATTAGGAGCATCACAGTCTGTGGTATATTATACTCCTATTATCGCCCAAATCGTCCGATCATCGATTTGACGCAAATGGTGAACGGAAAACAAACCAATAAATGCTGTATCATAGGAAGATCGATGTTATCAGTCAGAACAGTACACTTCATTTCCAGAAATGCACAATATTATAGCTCATCAATAAATCCATTAGCCACAGACAAATCAGTTCGATGAGGACGCAATTGTGTGCGCGTGTGTGTCAAGAACTGCCGCGAAGCATTTGACTGAATTAAAATAGTGCTTTGTTCAAGCTACCTCCTCGCTTGCATCCAGCTTTGAACGCTACAGTGACGAGCAATGTATCAAACAATTGGGCAGCACCAGTAATTTGCCACATGTTTACTGATGGTGTATCGAAGGCTGTCACGTACTGCGACATCATTAATGAGAACCAGTGTCAGCATTGTTTGATTACTGATAATGTGTTTTGTTGTAAAGAAATATCACGAAAAATTTTGGCAAATTAAATTTAGATGACATGTAGAGCATGAAAGTACAAGATAGATTTACCAGTCCATGTCACCAGTCAAATTCACTGCTTATCACTGTGTCTCTCTAAATACCTTTCTGAAATGTGATAATTCAATTGATCATGCTGACCATTGACTCAGAAGCATTATATCTCAGATTGATGAGTCCAGTGAGAGGGCAACATTAGGCTTATAGATTGTACTGGAGAAAAGCCTTAATGATAATATCTTTTTACTTGTTGTGCTGGTGGCAGCAAATATGTACTAGCAGGGCTACAGTCCAGGACATCAACATACATCATGTTCGCTCTTCTTCACCCACACCAACGATCCCACTTAAATGAACTATGCAAACACTTTCCATAAATCTGTTTTCATCGCAATGGATTGCATCCATTTTGTGATCAAAATGTCAATACGATTGTAGTTCAAGCAAAAGTACAAACACATTTCATTCTGGTAATCCAGCAATAAAGCGACGGAAAGTACTTATGAGCAGTTTCCTATATTAGACTTTCATTGACTGAAAATTGAAGAAGGTTGTGGGAGGATATCGTTGGTGTCCTACCGCTTCAGTGCCCCAGAGTATAACAACCTTCCCAGAAGGTCTTTTCAACTCAAGCTCTGGTACGCTTCATGTGAGAGTTCTGGTAATAGCAAGTGTATCCACGATGTGGGTGATGTTTGACCGTTATTGTTCATCATGGAACATTCTAATTCAATCACATATATCTAGCAGTTTGAAAGACGATTTGGCCATTATATGTAATAAGTTATTAGGAGTGCTGCCTCCAATTTCACACTATGTTTGGGGATGATTTGATTTGTGGTATTACGGAGTAGATATTTCGTGAAATGGCGCTTCGTGGTAACATGGTAAATTTTGAAAAATGTAACAACAGCCTTTATAACTTGCCGGTGGATTACTGTTTTGAGATTTTCAAGTTCATTCTTTGCGGGACCATTTATTAGTTCTAGTTATTGAAAAACCAAACTTTCGTTTTGACGACATTCTCTGATTTTTAAATTTTATCCTGGTGTGTATTGACTGAAACAAGGAGGTTTGTGAACTTCTCTTGGCATCCTAACTTTTTGGAATGTGTCATGTTTAACTGTTTTTAATGATGGCACATTAGTGCTTGTATGCTGTTTTTTATAAAGAACGACGCATTCTTATAAAAGTCCAGAATTTAAGGATTCAGGGTGTGGATTACAAGAAAATCGTAGAGAGAGTTTATTTCATAATTCATTCAGTTTTCTTCATACTCTCATTTGAGGATAAAGAACGTACTCGGTGATTTGTTCTCTTTAACATTAGGTTTCTTTCTTCAAAATTCTGCGAGTCAATATGTTCTTGGGTCACCAATCAAAAGCCAGTAAAATTTATTCCCCAGAACATGGTACAAATTGTGACCCACCGATTTCAACGGTTGTTTCACATGATCCGTGGAAATGAAATGTTTGCATTACGTGACCTGTTTACTGCAGCATCATCAACTGTGCTGGAAAATCCACGATATTTGATGGTAACAATATAAATATATATACATACATATATATATATGCATATACATATACATATACGTACATATATATACATATATCAAGTTAATTTCAGCTGTGCAAAGAAAAATCACCGACACAAACATAAACGTATTCCCAAATGTCAGACGGAAACACTTCAATAGAACCACGGTGGAAGGGTTTTGAATGTATTGAAATCAATACATTAGCCTCATATCGATTCCCTCAACCAGAATAATTATAGCAGTCACGTGCGAAAATGCTGGATGCATGCAAATGAATTTCACATCAAGACAAAAGTAGTTCTTCAATGAAACAATAGATGTAAATTCTCGATCAACGGTGTGGGCACGAGCCATTTTGTAACTTTTTGAACCACATTCGAAGGATCCATGGAATGTGTCTATCACCATTATTGGTGGTAGCAGAAGCTGATTCCTAGGGCTTCTTTCCACCTTATGATAAATCTTAATCGTGGCATTTCGTGTTATTGATTATAACGGTAAATGAACTTTAGAGAAGGAAGATGTTACCAATTGTCGGTGTGATAAATTACATAGGTTTAACGACTTGCCTTCTTCTATTCAGGAATTTCCTCCAAAAATGACCGTCTTTTAGAAAAACGGATTCCATCATCCCATTCTCGTATAAACCATTTAACACCTGCAATACTCCCAACTTGGATTCATTTTGTATCCTGCACGAGAGCATAAATGACGAAATTGTAAGGCTTCATGTTATCACCACCACCTGTCCCATTATGGGGCACGGGACTTCGACAGGCAAACCGCACAATATGCGCACCACTAACTTCTATTCTGGGTCATTTCTCTTAGCATCCCTAACCAACGGCAATGATTATTCCTTGGGCCGCAACATGGAATGTGTGCTGCACCAACCGAGGCCAAAATTGAAGCCGGCTTCCTCATACCNTATCATGATCTGACCATTTCCATTTCAACAGTTCCGTCGTTTTTCCTATGTTCTGTATCCCAACCCCCTGCGGTTATTGTTATTGTTATTATTATTGTGGCGTTGATACCATGCTTGTCAGTAAGCCGGTTTTAATATATATATGGGTCTCCGAATCACGTAAATTATAAGATTTTCCCCTTGGTTTTCAGCATCCCCAACCTCCCAAATATTACCCGTTGCCCAGACCAAATATCTTCGAAGACGACATATTTACCCATAAATCTTCTGGGGATCAGGGACAGGTTTGCCATCACCGACTTCTAGCCTAGATCAATCTGCGTCTTACCTTCTTCCGATAAGCTCTCTCAACCTCTCTTTCGATGGTTACTGATTATGTAAAGCGTTCTATATCTAATGTGATCATTTTATTCTCTGAGGAGACAACTGTGAATAAATCTATCGACTAAGGCTGTTGCAGACCTTTTGCACAACTTTTGTTGCCACAAAAAACAAGGGAGAAACATGGAAAATGAATAAACAGTTATGCATTTTTCTGTCTGCGGGCAGCCTCCGTCGGTAGATAATAAAAATGTAAAATTATTATTTAACTTCAGAATTACTCAAAAGCTACAGTTTCCCTCATCCACTTACTATTTTTCAATGGGTGACTAATCTGATGGGAATACGTGAAGAACCACCATCAATAAACTCCTAAACCACTGGCAAACCAGATAGATATCAAATATTGTGTTCAAAGAAAGCCCCAATGTTCTGTCGTCTTTTTTGTTCAATGTATTGAGCAACCGTAATTCTCACTTTTTATTACCGCATTCGTGGAGAACAGCCAAAGTCATATTCATCCCAAGGAGGGTCCACATAATTTCATCTGATCTGAACTTTCGAATTCCCTAAAATATTTTGAATATACCCAACTTGTGCTCTCCTCCGGTGAAGAATGTAAACAAGTAAACTAAGTTTACGCATTTTATTAAATGGTCCACCTTTATTATTTAGCAACCCTAGATAATTTTATTTTGTAATCGCTTGCTAGTAACTGAATAACTGAAAGAGTCCGCGTTTTGTATTATAGCGGTGGCTTTGAATGTGTTGATAAGGAACTTCATTTGGTTACTGCAAACAATGGATCTACGCTGTCTAACAGGCTGATAATTGTGATAATTTTATTTTTGGTTACTCTAATCTCGATAATGCTGGTCTCCATCCTACTGAGCTCTGTATCAGACAACTTAATGAGTAATCCTCTTTACACATCCTTAAGGGGAAATCGTGTTCTGATTCTTTTGAGATGTGCTATCTACTGTTCAATACTGATAGAACAATTCGCAGGGAGACGTCTGTTAAGTTACTGGATGTTATTCACAGTCGTTCCCTCTCTAGACCTAAGCTTACCAATAACATTTATGCAAATTAGAACGCTTTCGTTTTATGTCCTTCCTTACATCTGATAAAAGGTTCGTATACACCTGCATTCTACTACACTTGATTTATGTCTCCCCAGTGATTTTTCTTGATTTATTATAAAAGACCTGTCACGCAGACATTTATCCATATGTTGTTGTTTACCTATAGCTCACAACATTTATTATCTCTATGCTCACCAAAGCTTGTGATGCACTTGCTCATAAAATACTGTCTGAACCCCTGTGTGGTGAGGCAACCCTCCGAAAAGATGCCAGCAAAGCGCGTACGCGTTCCAGTTTCTGGACATTGAGTCATGGGCAAACAGTATCGATTAGTGAAGAGACTTATATTTCAAACAGAAGCCGTGTGACTCAAAGATTGGTTGCTATCCGTTTAATAAGTTACATATTTATATTTACACAATTTTATTCCGTTGATTTATCTCAGTAAGGGAATCGTTACCTCTGTAGCCTTGTCCTTGAGTCTTAGTGAGGGGAAATTGCAGCATACGATTGCCAGTGGGATTCTGTGCGTCACTTGCCTCCGTTACTCATGATCGATAATTCGGATCTATTTCGATTACTGCACTCTGTTACCCTCTTAACCCCGCATTGTCTAAATACATTTTCATCTGTCCTACTCGCCCGGAAGTACAAACACTCAAGCACCTACAATACATACAAATGCGCTACCGTTCCTAACCTTCTATGTCAACTAGTCCGTTTTTAACTGTGATATGTCTAAAGCAATAATTATACTCCGCACTCCTAGTGTATTCAGTCGTTTCTTCATGCTCTCACTTGTTGACCAACCGGCAGCTGTACATGCACCTGAAGGTGAAAGAATGCCATTACTTGATTTGACCACGTTTGATTAGATTTAACATGATTCATAGAATAAACCCAGACAGTGCGATCGATATTATATACTACGTCCTCTCTAATCACTTCATGGCAGTCCGAAGTTAGTAGTCCTGTCGAGATGGATGTCTCACGATGTATGCTCCCCAAGAGGGTTTGCCCTCAGCTGCCTCGGCCGTGTGCAAATCGAAAATGGTCAACTGGTCTCAGATGTTATCGCACCAACGAACTGGCTCTGTGATGTTAGTTTCTTACACCCCGTGTGAATATCCAACTTTCACGCAAATCACGAACAGCATTCTCCTCCCCCTCTGTGGAACGAACGAACATTGAACTTATTTTGGCCGTTTGTGTTGTTGTCATGTCTAACTGGCCAGCGACCAAGTCACCGGCCAAATCCTTTACTATTGCAGATACACTCAGCATGGCTAACATCATAGATAATCTCTGCTGTATAGTCTGCCAATTTGCTTGCCCTCTGTTCTAGGCAAACAGGTACATACATATTAAATATTTCTTCATTTCCTGTGCATTTATGCCCCAGATACAATGTAGACGGTCGTTGGGGATGCAATAGACAGTAGAGTGAACCCAGTCACCTGTGCTGGACGAGGGTAATGAATACAGAACAAAACACTGAACGAGGGCTGAAGTCACAACAGTCCATTCTGCGGTTGATTGTTGAGGTTAATGCACGTGAGCGTAAGTACAAACACGTACATACAACCTGACCAACGGAATTGCCTGTAAGATCACTTGAGGATAAATGACGCTAAGCTTTTCTCGAGTAGGATGACTCAGCATCAGACACAGGCTGTCTGATTGACGTTGCAATTAAACAGCCCATCTAGAATTAGCAGAGAGGATTCCCACACAAATGGTAATAGGCAACTGAGTTTGCCTGAAGGATAGATGGGTGAAGCTACTGCCAGGAGAGTCCAGAAATCAAACTGATAAGAAATGTTCGAAATGTGATATCCTCATAGTATTCACTGACGTTTGATCAAATAATCCCTGATGATTGCTGGATAATGGCTAGTCGTCTTTCCACTAAACACAAAAATTTCATCAATGCACATGTGACTTAACGTGCACTAAACATAGATGGTATGTTTGAAACAAAAGTCACTTTCATAACCTCCCTCTGCCCATGACATTGTTATTATTACTATGATTATTATGATGTGAACAACTGCAAGTAAGGAATGGGGATATTACTGAGACCATTTTCTGGAACCTTTTATGGGAAATGGCTGATTGGATACGCGGGACCAAATTGTCACGATCGTTCGTTTGCTCCCTGACCCCAGGGAATCATCTGTTCCAACAGTTCCCGTGTTCACTTTGTTCTGCGCAATGTATACGATTCGTTTTCATACGCTACGAATCCAAATCAACAAATCGACATTGTGAAGCAATGATTAGAACGAAGTTGTGAATCGTTGGGTTTCTGGTTGTGCATGGGGCAAAAGCTGATTCCACCACAGCTTGATAAAACACAACCCTGCTTCCTTTTTGACTGATAAATTCTTGTATATCTAAGTAACTCGCCCACCGGAGTGAATGTTAAGTTGAAGCAATCTACCGGAGGTTCTACGGAATAAAATAAACTGTATTTCCAACTTTCGAATATACGATTTATTCAAACTTTCATTTAGCATGGAGGGACGCAATATTGGGATTCGTATTAGAGGATAAACTGACCTTGTGATTGCATTTATATACCACACCTCAAGCTCAGTGCATCAGCAAACGTGATTAGCTCAACCAGGAAGTACAAAAAAACTTCCCCTGAATCTATGAATAAAAATAAGAGTTTATTTTCGTATATAAATAGTGCAAATATTGGAATTTTACAATTTGTACCTCAGAAATATGCTTCCCGTTACTTACTGAGAGTTGAAAAACGTATCATTTGGAAACCATTTAATCCCTTCTTGTACGTGAATGTTCCGTTGACCACCACTTGACACTCTGTACCGTATCGATCCCATTAAAACGTTTTGATATTTCAAGCTCATTGAAATATATATATATATATATATGTATATCAAAGTAGGTAAGGAGTGTCAATATAGGTGAAAATATGATAACGTTTAAAAACGGTTCATATGTAGACGGACCATCTTACTCTCATAGACTGACCGACCATCTGAAAATTTTCTATTCACGCCTTCCCGCGTCGTTTCGACTCGGGCATGCACCGAATTGCATCAGCTTCATCCACCCGTTTAGCATTTTCATCGGATTGTCAAAACCGTGAACTGTAATAGCATTCGACGGGTCGAAGTCGGATTCGTTTTGTGGAAGCCAAACACCATGTAGTTTCTGTGGACTGATTCCATATTTTTGCAAAATAATACCCAAAAACACGTCGTCTATCCACAAGAATTTCACGAAAGGCATTCCAACTGTAACAAGGTGTACAACTGGCATGCTCAAAATCACAGTTCCACCTGAAGGGTACGGCGGAAAGTTTTGGTACGGAAAGTTTTCATATAGTACGTGCCATTTACTGGATGCATCACGTTCCGGAAATTGCATGGGATAAATAAAACCGGAAACATATGTTGGATATTGCGTTGTTGTAATGCGCTGAATCGCGCGAATCAAATTACTCGGATGTACGAGAAAATCGTCATCTACGAGGACGACAAAACGAGTAGCTCTGCAATTCCGTGAGATGTGCCTCAAAACAGACATCATTTTGTAAGTATTGTTGTGATAGGAATCGACAAAGTCAAATTGCAACAGATCGCCAAATGTGTCGTGCTCCCATCGTAGGCGTTCGATCAAGCTCGTTTGAGGGCGCGCAGTCGAACCGAGCGCGAACACAGTGCGAGTGGAGGTGTCCAGATATGAGGCACATGTTGCATTTGCCCACGTTTGACGAATTGCGTTTCGTTGATCGAAGGAGGTTAATCGAGATTTGACAACAATGAGTATATCGACGAATCTTTTGCTGTACAAAGGTTCAGATGCATTTGGAACGATAGGTTGACACAATGACTGCGGATAGCGAATCAGTTTGAAACTGACCTGATTGATTGGGCGCGTGCATTTCTTGCCTTCCGGCGTCCAGTCCTCATCTATCCCCAGGATATTGTATATCTGATACAAATCAACATCTAGCGGGTAGTCATAGATATCCGGCCTTTCTGGCTGGTTCTGTGCATACGCGTGGATAAGAACCACTATCGCTAAAATCATCGTTGCCGAAACGATATAAAAGAGCCAGTGAAGTTTTGGGTGTAAATTCAACAGTACTTTGAAGACACTGTGTAGTTCCATCTCGATGTAGATCTATAGTACTGAAAATTAAAAGGAAAGAATAAGACTGTTCGGAAATTTGAAGCTGATAGAAATATATCCTTTTTCATTGAATGAATAACTTCAGCCCAGACAATCTATCGCACACTACTGAACTCGTTGAAGTATATGTAAAGACAGTTCTTCCATGAGATAAACCTTCAATGATGCCTGCCGATGGTGAACGTAACGCTTAAAACCGACTGAGCCAACCAAATAACGGCAGAACGTTGTTTATAAAAGAAAAACACTTTCGAATTTGTTCATGACCAGAATACTACCAGATTGTGAATTCTATTGGGAATTGCCAACTGGAGGCTTTTACCAACCAAGGTCTAATCCGCAAGGCGGCGGGTGAAAACAACCAACAATTGGACACAGTTTAGACAGGATCAAAGGTCTCAGATGTTCAATACACCTAGAAGACAACTGGAGCCGGTAACCACCGATACAACCAGGACGATTGGCTTGTGCTTATGTGTGTGTGGTTCGTATACCTTCTCGTGGTTGTTTTGGAATCACTTTTCTTATCCAACTCCTTCAAGTCTTTTTTCTCTAAACAAACATTGAATTAATCATACAATATCCAAAGAGTAATGAGACTATATTGTTCCCTCGGATAACCTTTTTGAGGGAAGATGGATATTTGAGATTACTGGATCTCTAAGCGGTTAGCTTGACCAACATTTATGAGCTTGCAACTAAAGACAAGCAAGGGCGAAACAGCTGTTGACTCGGGTATAAATGCCAGCAAACTGCCGTATGATCCAAAAATAACCCGTTCCACCAGTGAATTGATTGCTCGTGTTTATTACACATTCGTTGGCTTTGATTTAATGCATTTGTTATTCCATGCACCTATTCTTCCATTCCCCAAAGGAAAGTGCTTGAATTGAGCCGTAAATACTTAGATTTTCAACAGTCAATGTACCGTTATATGTTCAATAAAAGAAAGTAAAAAGGAAAATAACTAGATTTTATCAGAAGATATCATCATTCCCTATTGTCTTACGCAGATTCGCGACAATAAACATGATCAACTGGTCAAATCCGAGAATGCAGTGAACTCGGCACCTTTATGGTATAGAGGATCAATCAAGATGTACTTTACTTGGTCTAGACTAACAATTAATCAGTTAAGGTTGACAACATATTTCTATGAGGGGAGTCACTTTACACAACTCCCAGAATAAAATATTCCTATTTGCAGAGGCAGAATGACGTCATGTCGAGTAGCTCAATTTTCAGACCCAAAGTTTGCAATGCAGACATGCGTTTTATTTGGTAAGCAGCCCAAACCATACAATTAGTCAACAGTGTACAAAATGAATGTGTTAGGAACACATAGAGAACAATATTTTGTGTTACTCACAGCAAAATAAGATACCCTATAAGGGTTGAATACTGTCCTGGACAAAGCTCCTAAATTTCTCTCCTTAAAAGATAGAATAAAGATAAGTGAGTTGATCGGAAGCTGGTATAATTGGAAAAGAAGAATGTGGTATGTCAATTTCTTTTGAAGTAGATGGGGAATGGATAGGGACCAGCGTCACTTCTGGAAATGTCCGATGACTTTTATTCGCACGCGCGATGTTACGCCGTTTTGTGTCATCACAACCTGGATGAGGACATGGCTCGGTTTGTAGACAGATCAATCGCACGAACGTGCCCCACAGCCACTGTACGTGCTACTTTCACATGGCCGCGAAATCTCTTCACAAACCTGGAGAATAAGCATACTATCCTCTCCTCATCCGAGATTACGTACTTCTTCACTTGTAGATGTTCGGCGAGTTATGTGGGACGAATGATGGGACTGTTTTCACAAAGGAACAGAGAGCATCAACCCACCTGATTAAACTCGGGTGCGAGAAAACGCGAACCAGAGTATATGCGATTCACCTCGTTGCTAACGAACACCAGAGAGAGAGAGAGATCAATGCATTTGTCTCCAGGCAAGTCCGAGTTCGTTCAACAACGTTACTTAGCAACAACAGAAACAGTCTCAATCATAATCCTGAACCAACTATTATGAGGACAGAAGAAAGTGATTGCCGCACTCCAGTTGCCTTGGTCCTGACCTAACCTACGAGACGAACCAAACCATGTCCTCAATCAAGTTGCGATTATGCAAAATGGCGTGATACGCCACGCGTAAATAAAAGGTAATAGGGCATTTCCAAAATTGACCTTGGTCCCCCTATCTGCTTCATGTACACCTGCAGACCTTGAGAAACGATGCTGTTCTCTTCTATACTATGCATGAGTAGGCAACTAACAGGAAGTGCCTGAGAGCGACGTTACGAAAACAAGCTTGTTCGCTATATTTTTCACTTCGGATTTTATTGTGTGAATCTTCCACGAACTACGAGCTACTTGAGGAATTCATGTTGTTTGGCATATAATGTAAGACATCGGTCCCATGTTGAGGGTAAATGGGGATCAAATTGTAAAACAAT